CGGCTCTCACCATCCACAGGGAGACCTGGATGGAGTTCCTGGCTCCTGGCTTCAGCCTGGCCCAGCCTCAGCTGTTGTACCCACCTGGGGAGTGAACCGGCGGGTGAGAACTTTATCTGCCCCCCCCCCCCAGCTCCATCTCTCTGCCTCTCAAATAAATAAATACGTTAAAATAGGATCATATTGTATTTTTTATTTCAAAATGAAAAGCATAAAGTTTACTATTAGCCGAAAAGAAAGAAATGGAAGTCAAATGGAAAAATAGGTGGGTTTTAGATAAAGGTCAGTTAATCGCAGGACATAGTAGTTTGTAAAAGGGGTCGGGGGAGAGGCACGTTTCCCGTTGCATTGTGCCTTAGCAATCTGATTTGGGTGTAGGTGTCGGGGACTGACTCTGCCTAAGGAGGTTCCCGGGCAGGCCCACCCCCACCGCCACCCACCCCCCCTAATTTTGGTGCTTAAATTGCCTTCACTGCGACAGGTTTTATAACATTGACGTTCGGTTCTGCACGGGGCTTTCAGCTGGTTGCTATTCCTGTCTCTGCCTTCAGTGGCTCCGAAGCTTCCCACCCTCCCTCGCGGAGCAGTTCCACCCTGCCGGGCTGCTTCTGCTCTCAGTGCCCTCCTGGCTGGCTGGCTGGACTCTCACTGCACTGCACTTGCAAGGACTTTCACGCTCGGAGAGCACCGCCTTGGTACCTGGGGGACCCCTTGGCAGTGACCTGGGCTGGGCGGGCTTTCTTCCCCCAGGGTAGAGGCAGCCACCCCAAGCTTCAGGCACGGGGCCAGTGCGTGGGGCCTTCAAGGGAAAGGTGGTGCAGCAAGGCCGCTTGTCCTCTGCAAGGCACCACCCGGATGCTGCTCCACCTCCTCCGAGCCAGAGCGGGCGGGGCCCAGAGTTCCTTCCCCAGGAGGACACTCCGGGATCCAGGAAGCAGCAGCTTCCGCCACTGCTTGCCTTTGGCTTCTCGATTTATTGCAGATAAATTTTTAAAAAGATTTTATTTATTTATTTGAAAGGCAGAGTTTTACAGAGAGAGAGAATCTTCCATCCGCTGGTTCACTCCCCAGATGGCTGCAACAGCTGGAGCTGTGCTGATCCGAAGTCAGGAGCCAGGAGCTTCTTCAGAGTCTCCCACGTGGGTCAAAGGCCCAAGGACTTGGGCCATCTTCCCTTGCTTTCCCAGGCCATAGCAGAGAGCTGGATCAGAAATGGAGCAGCTGGGACTGAAACCGGCACCCATGTGGGATGCCGGCACTGCAGGCAGCAGCTTTACCTGCTATGCCACAGCGCCGGCCCCTGCAGATAAATTTTACTGTTTCACCTGGAGCACAAATGCTCTCAGAGACTCTGCTTCTCCTCCAGGCTGTGTTTCCCTCCAAACACGTCTCTTCATCATCTGGGTCATCAGCACAGGTCCTTCCGCTGCATTCCCAGAGGCAACAGCAGGGAGCTGGGTGGGCCGCGGAGCAGCCGGGACTGGGACTGGCGCTCCCATGGGGGAGGCAGGTGGCATAACCCACTGCACCACAACGCCCGCCCCTCATCCTTCTCTTTGTCACGGAAATGGCCTCCTACCCACGCTCCCCATGCCAGACCCAGGACTGGGAACCAGAGGTACAAACCCGAGTAAAACGCGACCAGGCTCTGCCCCCAAGATGCTCGCCGTCTAGGAGGAGGGAAAGCAAGATGGCAGTGCAGAAAGAGCCGTGGCTGATGGAGGGGGCTTTCGGGTGCCTAGGGAACAGGGCTCCTCAGCCCATGGGAGCTGACCGTTCTTAAACAGAGTGACACTGGGCCAGTCTTGCAGGACCTTTTACTATTTGGGAGGCCAAGCACGGGGGGGAGCTGGATCAGAAGTGGAGCATCCGGGACTTGAACCAGCTCCCACGTGGGATGTGGGTGCTGTAGACGGCAGCTTAACCCAGTGTGCCACAGCGCCAGCCCACACAGTGGTTCTTCAGGCCTGGGGTGCAGGTCGGCTGATGAGGCTGGACACATGGCAAGGGCCAGATCAGGGACAGCTTGAATGCCACGCAGTGTTAGCCAGCGTTTCCTTGCAGTCACGAAGGCCCTAAGGCAAGCAACTTTGTAAAAAGGAAAGGTTTGCTTAGCTCAGAGTCTTGCTGTCTGCGACTGGCTGGCCCCATTTGCCTGGCCCCTAC